ATACAGTAGAACCTCGATTATCCGGACTAATTGGGGATGAAGGTAGTCCGGATAAGGAAAAATCCGGATAATCGAAACAAATACTTTAATTTGTCTTTTAATGATAATACAACACGTTTTCTTTTCGAAGACATATCGGTAATATTAAAAATAAATACTGTATTTAAATCGTAATCAAATTTTCGAGAAACAAACGTTCGTATTGAATTTGGACTACTACTGACCAGGCTAACAGACTACCTATTGTTTAAAAGGCCTTCTGGTGGCTCAAGAAGACGGATTTTATAAAATAAAAAGCAGTTGAAACTGCATTTTTATGAATAAAAATTTGACAAACTATTTATCATTTTATGATGAGTAGAATTTTTACGTCGCGTTCTCGGCTTTTAAGTAATGCATAAACCTTCGAGGCACGAGGCCCTTCGGACCGCGAGGCATGGGTGACGTGGGAGACGTGGGCTTAACATCGACGAAAATTCAACGCCAAGCGACACGCAACGGAGAAAAATTTCAACAGGGGATAGATTAATATATTTTTTCGTACATAATCGGTTATCCGAAAATTAGTTATCCGACAACCCCAGTCCCCAATTGATTCGGATAAACGACACTCTACTGTAATCTTAATCTTCGCTATAGTTACTTTTGCCCGAACAACGCCGGGCTTAATCTGCTAGTTATAGCATAAAATACTGAATTAATATCCAGCTAGATGTTTCTTAATTTAACCTATGCAAAAACACCTTATCCCACTGAGAAATATTTATTAACCGTAACAAATGTTTTCAGCCTGTTCTCGGGCCATCTTCAGGTTTTTAAAGATCATGGAATATTGATAACTGTTCTTTATTGTAAAGAACGTTTAAGAACACATTTAAAATACAAAATTCTTTGGAATATTGAGCTATTTGAACCTAAAAAATAAATTTTAGTATTATATATACAATTTAAAATAACAAAATAATAAAATAAATAGAAAAATCGGTTCGAGGTTGAAAACGTTTTTATGGTTAATAAATAATTATAAGTGAGATAAGGTGTTTTTTGCGTAGGTATAACATAGAAGCAATTATTCTCACAGTTTTACAAGATTTTTTTTATTTAAACAAGCGATATGAAGTCTTTCAGACGTTAATTAAGGTTAGCAACTCGATCACATGCGGAGCCATCACAACCTGTCTAACACGAATTACTTTTCAAATATTAATTAATAGTAGACCAGTATTAATTAGTAGTGGTTGACCATCCTTTCTTCCGGGAGAAGATCAACGACTACTTTTGCTCGAATTACTTCGAGCCCCTTTCACCACGGTTCCGAGTTTCTATTGACCCAGCGGTATGATGGCATTGGAATTGGAAAATCCAAAATACGAGGTTACCAGCCTGTACAAAATATGATTTAAATGGTTTTCTAGGGTAGGCCAAGAAGAGCTCCAGCGAGGCGAAGAAGAGCAGGCACGTCAACTGAAGGAACTGCATGCCACGATTGGTAGATTTAAAGGTAATCAAGGAGCAGGTTGAGCACCATGAAGACAAGTCCAACGGCATGAGAATCGAATTGCCAAAGTTGAAGTGAAGATCACAGATGTTGAGAAAGCTTTGGTCGAGCTCATCTCTGAGATTGGTAATGCCAATCCCGTTATATCTATGCCAGTAGTACGTGGATTTAAAGTACCACCTTTCAAAGAGACATCTTCATGGTCGGCTTATAAAATTCAGTTTGAAGCCTTGGTGAGGATGAATGGATGGACTAAAGCCATGACAGCACTCACGTTGGCACTCCGCGATCAGGCCTTGACTGTATTAGAGGCCCTCGGTAAGGACATCACTTACGACCAACTGGTGGAGGCATTGGAGTCCAGATATGGGGACAAACATCTTGAGCACGTGTATCGGGCGCAGCTTAAGGACCGTGCGCAACGTAGTGCCGAGACTCTACAGTGCTGGGCACTGGAAGTTGAAAAGCTGGTCCGAAAAGCGTATCAGTCTTTACCTGCATTGAATGAAGGACTACTCGTACAAGCGTTCATAGATGAAATACTCGATCTAGAAGTTCGAGCCACTGTTAGGTTGGGACATCATGAAACTTTGAAGGACGCTTTGGCCCATGCTTTGGAGACGTAGGCAGTAAGACGCGATGATCGATCCCATTGTGTTAGGGAGATTGTAACGACAGGTCTCCAGTGTTACTACTGTAGAGCAAGGGCCACCTGCAGATGAATTGCCCAAAGCGAGGACACCTTGGGAGAGACCAAAAGGAGGATGGACTTCAGAAGGTAGAGGCGGCTGATACCACCGCCCAGCTGCAGTGGCAGTAGGGAAACGAGTAAACGCCAGGACTGCGGGGCGGGTGCTGGCTGGTTTTGAGGGAGCCCCAGGAATCTCAATCTCCCAAGCCCACGATAGGAATAGCCTGATTATCCAAGGCGAAATTAACGGAACACCATGTAGCTGACATTGGACACTAGAGCTTCTCGCACGGTCATCAGTTCTCGGCTAGCAAAACAGTTTCTTGGGGATTACTTCAGTGGACATGATTGTATTCGTCTTATAACAGCGACTGGTCAGCACATATCTGTCCGAGGAAGTATGAACAATGGAAGTATCAACTATGAAAGTTTTAACAATGGAAGTGTTAAGTAACAATGAAAGTGTCAACAATGGAAATGTCACGTAACAATGGAATTGTTAAGAAATAACAGTAATATATTTACAAACAGGTAAGAGCATAGCAAACTATCTGTTGTGTTAATACAGGAAAAAAAGCAATAAAATATACAAAAAATTTAATAAAAATTTTTATTGAAATGGCCAAGGATAATAAATGTGTGAAAAAGTTATTCATAATTTAGAAAAAACAATAAGTTTTCACTTCCTGTCTTCCTTTTACAACCTCAGAAAAAAAACCATTCTACTCCGCCCATAAAGACTACTCTAATAAATTGGATATTCAATTGGACGTTACATTTATATGCACTCTTTTAAATATGTATTTGTCTTTTCTGAATTATAAACTTTTGTTCGAGCATACATTTATTTCTATATTTAATTGAATTTAATTTTTTATTTTAAAAATTACCAATTGTTTATTAATTAAAAAGATTTCAGAAACGACTTGCTTAACTTTTCCGGCAACTATTAAAATTGCCTTTGTGGTGCCATCTGTTATGCTTATTTTTACAAAAAAGCTTTTCATTTTTTTAATTATTATAAAATGTCAAAATGCTTAATTTTCAGAGTAGGAATGGATTTTCTAAAAAATTGTAAAAGTTAATAACGAGTAAAATCGTATTTAAGCCTGGCCCTATTCGAAATACGACACACGATTCCCTTTATCTCCCCACCCTCCAATCTTTAACCACCATCAGTTAAGAGTATCAATCCCCATAATACATAAACCTCCCTGTAAAATTTTAGAAATTTTCGATAATAAGCACAGAAGTTGTTAAGCTTAGATGGTGTGCAAAATAGTGCTCTCCAAACACTAACATCCATACATACAGACAAAACCCCCGACTTTTTCTCGCATTTCCTATGTTTCAAGGTCCCAGTCCAAAAATGTAAAGTCATTTTTGATCGATCTTCATACTTTCCCTCTGTTATATATAACAGGTCGGGGAAAGTAAATATACATCCCAAATTTTTTTTTAAGAATCAAAATATACTTATTTGAAAAATTACAATTTTTATATCTTCACTTCTGAATTTATTGAGAAAATATATTATATTTTCACTTAATGTTGATCTTCAGGAAAAGCAAAGTGAAGGAGAATCATCCAGAACAGTCTTCTTACGATATGCTACTACGATCTGGCTGATTAAAAAGAATTGTTTTAATTGTATAGAATAATTTTTTAGATATTTCTAGAAAATATTACAAAAAATATTTACATTAGTTGAAACAACTATTTTCTTCCTCTTGTTCGTTTCCCATATCCATAAGACAGCTACAAGCAAAAGTGCCACAATTAGTCCTCCCACGTAACACAAAAAAACTCCAGCTAAATTTTTTATATCCATTTGATGTTCTTCGCTTCCTATTCTATTGTCTGAAATTTAAAAACAATAAATTTTTGTTAATTAGCACATTGTTTTAAAATAACTTTATATATTACCGGCACAATTATTGATAAACCATCGTTTATTCAAAAAATCCATATATCCTTCTTCTCTTAGCTTTAAGATAGATGATGTGAATTGTTTCTCAAACGGAGAACCTTTAGATAAACCAAGTCCATAATTTTGCTGTTAAATAAAAAGATTATCATAGTACATATTTACATAAACAATTGATATAAGTATTAAAATTATTTTTAATAGACATTCGTCCTTATCGATACAATAATATATTGTTTTGGCAATAGTAACAATAACAATGAAAGGATAGCATTAATGTCGTCCTGTGCTAAATTATTAAACATTATTAATGTTGGAAATAATTTACTAATCCGAAAAGTCTTCCAACTCGTTCGACATTGCATGGCCTCTGCATAGCACTGTAATCTAAAATTGGAGAATCATATATAAAAGCGAAACGATCCTTGTGACCTGAAATATTTAACACACATTGATTACTTTCTTAAAACAACAATAAGTACGTTATTATTGAAGTTTATGTCACTAGATAACTCATGAGTCATTTCTTAATTAATATTTTTATGTTTTACCTTCTTGCAAATAATACGATGCTCTAACTCTTTCTATGCCCACGAAACTATCATTTATAAACGTATTCTGCTTTTTCATCATCTTGTAAGCTATTTTATGAATTTCGTAGTGACTGTTGGCAAAGAAGTTTTCAGTATGAGAATCTCCATGAGTTCCAAATGGAATTATATTAAACTTCACTAAATCTTCCAGAGAATTAATTTCTAAAAGGGGCCATCCATAAATTACGTAAGGTGTTTTGGGGTGGGTGGGGGTAAAGGATTTCTTACTATTTCTTACTCAGGGGTAGGGGGTAATAGATCTCGTCTTACGTAATATTTTTATTTTTATTTTTTGATCTTGTTGAGTGGTGGCGTTTTGAATTTGGCTTCAATTTGGCGGTTTCTATTAAGAACGCTGGTTGTCTCGTGTGACGTGATAGAGTAATAACGCTAGCAGATTTACGCTCTACACATTTTCTGTCATGGGAGAAAGGCCGTGTGGTGGTTTCTCTCTCTTGTTTTTTATTAGAATAAGTGCACCATTCCTTTGGGTTGTATAACACTAAGAATACATAAACCAAAATGCATAATACAAAGTAAGCATAAAATTAGTATTCGGCTTTCAGTGAAAACTAAAATGTAAAACCAGAAATTATAAATAGTCTTTTCTTTCATATTTTTTAACATCATTGTAAAAAGCATGAAATAGTGGTTTCTGAACAAGCTTATCGAGTGGACGTGGCCACCCGAAACCAAGCGTAAAAATTTCTAATCTCAGAATAAGTGTATGTTGATCGTAAATTGGACAATGATAGATCATATAGTCGACGGTGTCTAGGTTTTCTGTACACAAAAGCAAGGAGCAGTTTCTGCCCGGTTATACATCGCTTGGTAGCTTCTAAAATTACCATGCTNATTTCTACCCCACTTCCACTCATTGACAGAATCTGCGCAACTTCCTTTTTGGAAAGTAGGAAGTTCGAAAGATACTTTCTCTTCGTAAAGAATTCTGTGAAGTCCGTTGGCAATTGCTAACACTGCATCATACACACGAGTGAAAGCTTGCTGCAAAATGATATTTATTAATTCATAAATATAAACATTTAAGTAGTAAAATAATTTCAATGGTTAATTTTCCTCATTCTCTAATTGATTTCCCAAATTTTTCTCTTTTAACTGATTCGGTAATTTTAAATATAAAATAGTGTCGGGAACCACAATTGCCGTTCCTATTAATCCGACTAAAGAAGATGGTACATATCCGTCATTGTCTGATAAGTATGTAAAGCTCTGTTAACAAATTTTATTTAGTTAAGAGTTTTTGTTAAACTTTAATATAATAATACAAAATAGTAAGTTATTTTAAGAATTTTCGTATTGTTATTTACAAAAATAAAAAGATTTAGACTTACGAATGATGTAATGCTATCCATAACGAGCCAGATCCATCCAGAACGAAACATGTTCATGCGATCAGCTTGATTTATAACAGTTTTACTTATCGTTATTGAACAATAAAGAATTATTATTCTCACGTCCTTTTCCTTATCAGAATAAAAGTGTTATATAAAGTCACTTGTGATAAATTTTGATAAAAATTTTAATTTGTACTGCAAATTTAAGTAAAGCTTAACATGCCGATCTTGCCCCGGTCTCCCCTAATTAATTAATTCTATAGCTATTATAGTAATATGTTATTCGGTTAATCTATCACGCCTGCATTTCTATAATAACAAAGAAGTGTATATAAGCTATTGAAACTCTAATCTTTATAAATACATTGATTTAATTTTTACCTTTATGTCGTTCAATTTGTGATGTTATATTGAGAGATTTTGAGTCGGACAAAGGAAATCTCTGTATAGAAAGCAGTGTAATTTCGTATTTCGTAGCTAGTCTTTGAAGTTCCATTGTCGCATGAATTGCTGAATATATAAATTTAATCAATCAATTTATATGTTTTAAAAATTATAAGACATATTAAATTATGTATAATTTGTTATATGTGTTCATCTAAGTTTAAACAATTCACATTTAGTTATTGATAAATAAAATTGTGCATTGTATTTAAAAATATATCAAAACTTTTTACGGAATTAAATCTTTATACAGTAGAATTCCGATTATCCCAGCCCAAATAACTAAGGTTCTGCATTATCCGAAGCAAACATATACTAATTTCGTGTACTGTAATTCATAAAATAAAGTTTAAATTTATAATGTGCATTACAAAATGACATGTTTTTGTTACGTTTTATTTTTTATCTTCAATTCTCTCAAATGGCAATGGGCAGGACATCTGGCAAGGGAGGAAAAGTGAACGAAGAAGAATCGCCAACGCTTTGATTTGCTTTCCCTATCTCCTTTTTTCTATTGTCAAAATTACTTGGTGTTAAATTTACACATACTGCGAGCACGAGGGAAGTAAAAATCACCGACACAGCAATGGTAAGCCACACTGTTGTTTCGAAAGGTGATAAAAATGCGAAATAATTTTGATTAGTTTTTGCATTATATTTCGGCATTAATATAGCCAAACCTAAATCGTAGTATGGAGCTGTAAAGGTGATAACTTGTTGCCTTTTCCAGGATATCGTCAAGGTAGCTAGTGCCAAATCTATTTTCTAAATATAGGAAATGTTTTACAAATCTTTATAGAAGATTAAACTATAGCATAGAAGTATTCAAAAATATAATGATTATCTACGTATACCTTATCCATTAATTGTTTAACTATTCCATTCCATTTTTTTGTTTCCTCATTTTTATTTCCATATTCCTTAGTTTCATGTAATTCAAATTTGAAATCATGTATTTCTTGTAATTTTAAAAGAAGATCTATAAGTAATCCTTCGTATTTAGAATGCATTGGATCTCCTTCTTTATAATAAGGATTTTTCATTATAAAGGGCTCATCCTATAAAAATGTGTATAAATTAACTAATAATTAAATGATATTTGTTAACTAATATATGTATCTACCGTGAAATAAGATAATACTCGATAATGATAATAATGAGAAGTTTATGTCTCTTACTAAAATTATTCCAATATTAAGTGTTCTTCCGAAAAGTCTATGATGAGATTCATTTGGAGGAATTGTAGTTTGTCCAGGAAATATGATTTCTGAATTAATCTTCAAGCTTTTCTCTTTTTCTAACCATTTTCCTACCTAAATATCCAGTGAAAATATTTGTTACATGTTAACACTATCGAAAGAATCTTGAATATTGTAAATTGCTTACTTTAACGAAACCTCTCATTTGAAGATTTTCGATGTCAAAACTGGTGAGATGATGGTAACCAAATTTTGTGAACTTTAAAGGTCCTAAACTCCCATTAACATTTTTCAAATTGAGAATACTTTCCAACAAATTTCTACCCCGCTTCCACTCATTGACAGAATCGGCACAACTTCCTTTTTGGAAAGTAGGAAGTTCGAAAGATACTTTCTCTTCGTAAAGAATTCTGTGAAGTCCGTTGGCAATTGCTAACACTGCATCATACACACGAGTGAAAGCTTGCTGCAAAATGATATTTATTAATTCATAAATATAAACATTTAAGTAGTAAAATAATTTCAATGGTTAATTTTCCTCATTCTCTAATTGATTTCCCAAATTTTTCTCTTTTAACTGATTCGGTAATTTTAAATATAAAATAGTGTCGGGAACCACAATTGCCGTTCCTATTAATCCGACTAAAGAAGATGGTACATATCCGTCATTGTCTGATAAGTATGTAAAGCTCTGTTAACAAATTTTATTTAGTTAAGAGTTTTTGTTAAACTTTAATATAATAATACAAAATAGTAAGTTATTTTAAGAATTTTCGTATTGTTATTTACAAAAATAAAAAGATTTAGACTTACGAATGATGTAATGCTATCCATAACGAGCCAGATCCATCCAGAACGAAACATGTTCATGCGATCAGCTTGATTTATAACAGTTTTACTTATCGTTATTGAACAATAAAGAATTATTATTCTCACGTCCTTTTCCTTATCAGAATAAAAGTGTTATATAAAGTCACTTGTGATAAATTTTGATAAAAATTTTAATTTGTACTGCAATTTTCAAATGAATATAATTAATTAATTCTATTGCTATTATTGTAATATGTTATTCGGTTAATCTATCACGCCTGCATTTCTATAATAACAAAGAAGTGTATATAAGCTATTGAAACTCTAATCTTTATAAATACATTGATTTAATTTTTACCTTTATGTCGTTCAATTGTGATGTTATATTGAGAGATTTTGAGTCGGACAAAGGAAATCTCTGTATAGAAAGCAGTGTAATTTCGTATTTCGTAGCTAGTCTTTGAAGTTCCATTGTCGCATGAATTGCTGAATATATAAATTTAATCAATCAATTTATATGTTTTAAAAATTATAAGACATATTAAATTATGTATAATTTGTTATATGTGTTCATCTAAGTTTAAACAATTCACATTTAGTTATTGATAAATAAAATTGTGCATTGTATTTAAAAATATATCAAAACTTTTTACGGAATTAAATCTTTATACAGTAGAATTCCGATTATCCCAGCCCAAATAACTAAGGTTCTGCATTATCCGAAGCAAACATATACTAATTTCGTGTACTGTAATTCATAAAATAAAGTTTAAATTTATAATGTGCATTACAAAATGACATGTTTTTGTTACGTTTTATTTTTTATCTTCAATTCTCTCAAATGGCAATGGGCAGGACATCTGGCAAGGAGGACTGATAACAGATGGTCCACGAGAATCACAATGTGGTATCCACGGGGAATCAAAAGACCCAAGGGACGTCCATACTTAAGATGGGACTATGACATAAGGAGACAAGCAGGCACAATATGGAGGAGAGTGGCAAACGATAGGCAAACATGGGCACAAATGACGGTCGATTATGTAAGGGAGGCTACACCATAACTTGAAATGGTAGAATAAGCTGAAGCTGATGATGATGATGATGATTTGTACCTAAATATAGTAAACACATAGTAGCATGGGAAACAAAACATCGACATAAAAATGGACAGCATAAAAAGAGAGATAGATGTATTGTACTCATTACAATGAAGCCAGAGCAGCAATTTATATATTTTTTGTTTATTCCAAGAAATTGAATTCCGACTAGCTACATCAGAAGTCAGTTTGTCATTCAGAACTTCAGTTTACACGCTTAGGCCCACCAGTGGCCAAATGGTTCCGTCCATGAACATTGGGAGTTCAGTCGTGGATTGGCGCCGCGCTAGGACGGGCTGGCCACGTAAATAATGTGTAACGTCTGAGTAGGGATCAGTTACTCTTAAAAAGACCTCCCGGAAGGCATTTCTCACCCTCGCGTAATACAATGTATCCAGAGAAGGCAACGGGGAACCACTCTGGTACTAACTTTCCCGGGACTCACCTTGGCACCACACTAATTAACAATTAACATGCGCCTGGTGATCGCCGACGTCAGGAAGACCTGATATAACACATAGAGAGAGAGAGAATATGTCTTATGTACAGTACAGAAAAGAAGCCCCAGATCTGCAGTCGTGTTAAAGGACTCTATGTCTACTAATATACATGGTATAGGAATGGATACAGTTTTACTGAGAAATTTCATGGGTAGCCTTATAATTCAGATTTTACTATACCAGTCGACCCCCCTATAACGTACGTTCCTATAACGACAATTCCTATAACGTAGCGAAAAAATTGTAGAAACTTTCGTATAACGTACCTCCTATAACGTCGTTTCGCGAGAAGATTGATAGAGTCTGGACCAATAGTGGATGAGCAGCCGAACTACTTNTGTGTTTAGGGTTTCATTAAAAACATTTTTTTGGTTAATTTAAAATCTTTCTATAAAATCATGCCAAAATATTACGTAAGATAGGAAGGGGAGGGGGGATAAAAAGAAAATATTACTTTTTCTTACACAGGGGTGGGTGGGGGTCTAGAATGGCCGAAATCGCCCTTACGTAATTTATGGACGGCCCCAAAATAAAGTATTTATGGCGATATTTGTTTTAAAGTATTTACTTAAATGATTTTATTACCTTGTTTCATATTTTGGACTGTCATAAAAGCTGCTAATTTTGCCGTATATGCAGCAATAAGAATAACCGTAGTTAGCCACCAAGTCACCATTACAATTCTTGCCGGAAGATTATTTTTTTGTTCAAATTCTGTTCCCTAAATACATATTAATTAATTAAATATTAAAATAATTTTCTAATACAACGCATCTATTGTCTCATTGAAAAGAATATAAGACAATATCCAAGCGAATATTATTTATTATCTGATAAATTAATTTAATTCAAAATTAATTTAATAGAATCACACGTGTTCAATTACACATTCTATCGCAAGTTGTGCCATTTTAATTTCTTATAAATCNGAACAGCCTTAGTCCGTAAAGTTCCCACCTATCGGGCTGCGATTGGCTCATGTATTTAATCGTTCCTACAACGTAATTTTCGGTTAGCGTGGAACGTATCTAAGCGTTATAGGGGGGTCTACTGTATATATATGTTTGTAATTATACAGTATATAGGAATATTGGATGCAATTTTCAAATTTTAGATCTATACATGTCCACTGTTGTTCGTCCGTCCGTTCGTCCTTCATTATTATTGAGAAAATAATTAAATGAAAATCAAAACGGGATGTGTAAATCTTAAACACTGGATATACGAACCGGAACGGGTCTGGATTAGAAGTAACGTGATTTTAAAATTAAATCAAAAGATAATTATAAATTACAGTCCAGCATTGTAAAGATCTCATAATAAATAAATAGACTCTGCAACAAATTATACTGCAAGAATATAGAACAATCGATTCATAAAAAGAACTCTTAAAATCCGGCAAGTTACGTTTTTATAAAAGAAAAATGATGGCTCATTCTTTAAAATATGACTTTGCAGTGAGCTATTGATTGTTATCACTACAGAACAAATCAATAACTTTACTCTGGTTATCCAAAAATCTCTTTAGATATAAGGTTTATGAGGGATGGATTTTACTCTGGGATTGAATAACTCTAATATTCAATAAGAAATTTAAGTAAGTATAATAAAAAACGAAAACAATTAACATGTAAGTGCATTGCTATAAACAATTGAAACGGAATTCTAAACAATTGCCTAGAACAGGCAGAATTCTGTTCAATACGTGCTTTTAGGTTTGTGAACCATTGTCTATTGATCGAATTTTAGATCAAAATTTATATTTACATAAGAATAATATCACGCATTTTATAAATATAGATTCGTAATTCATTGTGTCCACTTACGTAACTCACGTTCACGTTTATACTATTCTTATTCGTACAATGATAGTTATTAACATTTAAATCGCACATCCACTTTACTCTGTTGCTTTTAAATCTAAGATTCAATTGATAATGTTATTATTGAAAATCTGGTTCTCTTATTGATAAGGAACGACGAGAAGCGTTACGAATCCCGAAATAAAGCACAATTGCCATAATCTTATATTTGATTAAAAAAAAAAAAAGTGTACAATAGACCATGGCCAACAATTGATTACCAATTTTAACTTGCAGAGACGTTCCCACTTGTTTTAGAATTTTTTGTTAATTTTCAATCTACAATTCGGTGTTTTTTAAGTGTGTTTTCTGCATTTTTTGAAGGGCATCTGACAAGGTGAGTGTTTTTCGGCAGAAGTAAGTATTAAAGGGTTTTAAAATAAAACCCGTTAGCGTTACTTACTTATAGATAATCTAATATAAATTATTTTCTTAATAAAATAAATAAAACTATTGATTTTAACTTCAATATTAAATATACATAAATAATTTCTTTATACGTAGCCTACAATAATAACGTGGTTGTATTCAAAGGACAATTACCCCACAGGTAATAGGTTGATTGTATATCTCTTTTTCTCCGAAATATGCAGTACATTTTGGATTTATAGTGCATCTTCAGTTAGAATAAATGATGGCGGTAGGTAACAAATATGAATAAATGGTGTACTGTACATATTTTCTAATTGCAGACCTATACATTCCCACTGCCGTTCGTCTGTCTCTCTGTTCTTCGTTGCGCACCAGTGAAATTATTACAAAAACTTATTAATAGGAGGAGAGATTTGAGGATCCGATCGACCGATAAAAGATAATTTTCATAACCGATTTCGGCGAAAATGTGCGTTTCTGGATTATGCGTAGACCACATTCGACAAGAATACCATCAATTAAATAACGATATTAACTAAATAGGTTATGGTGTATTCGAGATCTGGTTAATATTCGACTTCGAGAAGTGATATTCGCCCATCTCTATTTTCATTAATTCAGCGAATTAAATTCAGTGGGCGAATTAAACTTAGAATAAATAAAAGAACAATAATTTACATTATTATAGATTTTTATTTATTTTCATTTATTATTATTAAAATTAATTTCTAATTAATTTAATTTCCGGTTCCAAACCCCATTTTAGTTCCTAAGTATATTTAGGTCTTATTAATTTTTATTTAGGACTACTAAACAGACTTTTTAGTCTAAAGACGTTTCTTATTTTATACTTATTAAGTTATTTAACCAGTTATTACTTAAATTATTATTTAAAGTATACAACAAGAACAAAAACTCGCCTGCTTCATTATCTTCTGTTAAAATGGCGAAAGCATCCCATCCATAATATTTCAAGATATGTATTAAGGCGTGATTCTGAAATGTATCCGGCGGTGACATTTTCAAAAGTGTAGACGACGATTGGTTCAAAATCGGTATTAAAGATAACATCGGGTCTGTGGCCAAGATACTAATCTGCGGTATTCCCAATTGGCCACACACAGTTTGGGCAATTTTGGAATCAAAAGATGTCAGCGGTACGACTATCGATATCACTCGTTGATCCACTAAATTACACACTGAAAAATTATATCAGTATTTAATTTAATTAATAAACTAATTTTAATATAACTTGTATAAATTTACCGGCTCTAATAAGTTCTAATTGTGTAGAAGCATTCTCTGTAATCGGAATCAGTTTCGTATTGGGTAATAAATTCGAATCTGAATTTATATTGTTTATTGCTAGCCGAAATGTTTCTTCTAATACAGGAGGAGAAGACGGAAAAATAGCACCTGAAATGAAAATAAACAGTAAATATTTAAATTATGTTAAAAGAAATCTATAAGAGAATAAGTTGAAAATAAGTAAATTATTATTATACTTTCTATCACATTATATAATTAATTACATGTCTTTCATAATCTTACCGATAGCAACTTCAACTGGTGCATTACCAACAGCAGAACAGAATAAGATTAGTACTAATAATCCTGATCTTCTCATAGTTAATTAATTACAAATGTTAATGAAAGCACACGTAGGTTCTATTAGAATTAACGATATAAAACTTCTACAGAAATCGTGCGTAGTAACCCAGCACTAAACATCGATGTACTGTGTAGCTGCTGACGAACTAGTTTCGTGAGGCTTGAAACATTTATCTTTATAAATCAATTTTCTGTTTATTGTTCTCTTCTTCATCATAATTTCGCTCTTAAATTCGCTCTTATCACAGTTATTCAATAAACTTCATTTTTATTTTAGTTTTTAGTTTATTGCATGCATTGAAATTATATGATTTTTCTACGTATATAGCAATGTCGTGTTATTTTTTAAAAATATATTTACGATTAAATTTATCAAACCACAGAATGAAGTTTAATATTTTAAGTTTATATAAACTTTAATATTTTAAGTTTATATAAACTTATAATATAAATTTATCAACTAAATAAAGTATAAAGTCGACAACAAATTAACAAGTCTAAAATCGATAATTTTTATATTTGAAATTGTTTACACTTTTGGTTTACCAATAGAATTGTTAAGGATTAAAAAAATTATGTTATGTAAGTATCCCATTATAAAATTTTTATCACGTAATGCTTTGTTTAATCAACTAAAGCGAACGAATTATATTTTATAATGTTTGTTTCGTCTATTTTTTTTTTAACGTAGAGTAAATATAATTATGCTGGTATGTAAACTATATTTATACTACATAATATTAATGTCATAAATGTTATCATTCGTGCATTAATTTAATTGAAAGGAAAGTTAAAAAATGTATGCGCCTACTTAATTACCAAGTTGTTTTCTTAATAATTAAATAACAAAAACAATTATTGAATTAAATGCTATAAGTAAATCGTAAATCTAATATATAATCGAGATGGGTTGATGATAATAATAATAATAATAAGCGCAGAGCCCAAACGGTTAGGAGTTGAAAGTTGAAATTTGGTACACCGTTAGGATACGTTACGAGAACGCGCAGTAAGAAGGGATTTTTCGAAATTTCCCCCCGGGGGAAGAGAGACAGGATTAAGGCTTAACACTTCCATCAACAATGGAAGTGTTAAGTAACAATGGAAGTGTTAAGTAACAATGAAAGTTTTAAGTAATAATGGAAATGTCAACAGTGGAAGTGTTAAGTAACAATGAAAGTTTTAAGTAACAATGGAAATGTCAACAGTGGAAGTGTTAAGTAACAATGAAAGTTTTAAGTAACAATGGAAATGTCAACAGTGGAAGTGTTAAGTAACAATGAAAGTTTTAAGTAACAATGGAAATGTCAACAGTGGAAGTGTTAAGTAACAATGAAAGTTTTAAGTAACAATGGAAATGTCAACAGTGGAAGTGTTAAGTAACAATGAAAGTTTTAAGTAACAATGGAAATGTCAACAGTGGAAATGTTAAGTAACAATGAAAGTTTTAAGTAACAATGGAAATGTCAACAATGGAAGTGTTACGTAACAATGGAATTGTTAAGAGAAAGCGACGTGCAAGACGCAGATGCAGTTTTTTTTTTCTTTTTTGCGGGAAATCGAACACATTTTTAGATCCATCTAAAAATTCTCTAATTAGTCTGGAAACAAGGGGACTCAATTCTTGCATTCTGTGAAAACGGGTAAGGTTGACTGTAACTTAATAATCTTAATCTTAGTTATCGTTACTTTTGCCCAGCAACGCCGGGCCTACCTGCTAGTTATATATATTATTACAAATTAAATTTTATAATTATACCCCTGTTCTGGAATATAGCTTAACACGTAGAGAATTTTAGTTAAGTTAATATTTTATTGTTTAATTAATAGAATTCTGTAAAGTAAAAATAATCTACATACATTATGGATTAGTATATATAGAAGAATATTTATTATATTGTCAGATTGCTTTTTCATATAGATTTTCAATAAATACATCAGAAAGACATCAAGCGCAGTAGACTTGATGTGATAGAACTTAAAGGAAAGAAACTTTACGTCATTCTGCAAAAAATTGAATGATTTCCAATTTCAAAATTATTTACTAAGTTTTTTAATTAAACAAAAGTTAACATTTTTAATATTTAGTAATTCGGCCCTGTCATTTCTAAGTGATTGATTACACTTTCTAAATATATTTCATTCAATAAATTTATATTAATTTTTTATCGTATTTTAAATAAAAGTATGCTATATTCTCTAGAAGATTCTTATGATATACACTTTTAAATATTCATGCTTCATTACCATTAAATTAAGCCTTTATTGTTTTGTTTTCATGTTTTCAGCACTCTTATCTCACAGAATATCGAATTACGTAGCTTTTAGCTTGGTTCTTAAAGCTAACATTAAGTAGATAAACATTAATTTTACTATGTAAATAGTTGATTACACCCGATCTAAATTTTGATAAATTCTGAAAAATATGAATATTTATTTACAGTGTTAATAATTAAAGAAATGGTTTTAAATATTCTTGATGAAATTACTTTTGCTAATATCAATGAAAGTGATGAATATTATATTTACAATCGACTCACTATTGACTTTAATATCAATAATCATTTATATGACAATTCTCGTTAAAATATATCAAATTTATCATATAGCTTATATATATATTTTTACTTCAAGAAGCTTTAAATGTAATTACAGTTTAATCGCTAAGTTAAACTAATTAGCGCCAGAACTTATTCGCATTATAGGAAACACTCACTAATTTTCTGATGTATTTTAGGTTAATAAAAATATGTCTTTTCTCAATACAGTATATTGTAGTTGAATGAGCCTATTGTATTGCGTGAGGATGAATGACACTAGTCAATTTTTTTGACAAGTTACAAATCAGTATTTAGTTTATTGGAGTTTTCAACCACTTTTACATGAATAAAAACCTTCATACGAAACTCAAATTACTGAATACTGGGCGCGTGTTTGCACCTCATCCACAGCCTCGGGGAAACTTCAGGGTTTCTTCGTGTACATCTGAATACGAGCAGTTTTCCAAAGAAAATCCGCAGAGATGCCTAATTTCGGAGTGTCACGTGTTATTAACTCGTTCAGTGAATGGTTTGAACGAAGAGTTAGTACCACGTGATATTCTCAACATGTTCGTGTCGTTATTCACGTAATTCGAAAATAGATACTGTGAGGCATTCCCTTTGGCAGAACGCCCATGTTTCGTGTTGTCTTTTAAAGCATCAAACCAAACTGTATAGGAAGGAAGACACAAGACTAAAGTGCTTCGTTTTCGATTCAGTTGTTTTGACCGTTTCGAATATTTGAATTCCGAATTAACCGGAATTTTAATCCGAAATTTGTAAGGTCTTACTGTATTAATTAATTTAAAAAACAATATTTTAATTTTCTCTTTCAAAACAGACATTTGACAAATATAACAATGCAAACAATGACATTTATATAATTTTGATATTGATGTTTTGTCATATTTTATTCATTTAATTAACAATTAATTAAAAAAGTAGAGTGATTAATGTTCGAATAATTAATTAATTAGTTAAATTCTTTAATTATTAAATTCAAATTTAACTAACTAACTATTTAATTAATTATTTGAACATTTATCTCTCCACTTTTTTAATTTAATGAATTAAAATAAAAGTGTTTTTTAACAAATTCCGATAATTAATATGTTGCATTATCCAAAATGCAATAAATGTAAAATAATTTTGTATTTTTTAACAAATTTTTTAAAAAAGTTTTGTTTAATTGTTACTTTTATTATAATTCTAAATTTTATATTTAGGTATTTATTATTTATTATTTTAAATCACGCAAATGAATTTCAAAAGATATAACTACTCTATTTATATGCAAAATACTTCGCCGAAAATCGTTTCAGTACATTTTTCCGTCACGAAGAGGGAAAAAAACCAGAAAAAGTGACACGCAGTATCGATGAATCGTCTCGAAATTTTNTTGAAAGTGGCTTTCTATTTCGAATGTTTTGTTCGAATTTGTTCGAATTAAATTCGAACATAAAATTCGAATATTGGTTCGATTATAGAACGATTGTAAACGTTCCAGAAACGTTGAAAATAGTTCGTTTGACTTGACGTGAACAGGAGACGTTCAGAAATAGAATCGGGACCAGATCTCTAATCAGAAACGGGGGACCTAATTCTTGCATTCTGTGAAAACGGATAAGATTGGCTATAATGTAATTATCTTAATCTTCACTATCGTTACTTTTTAAAAACCCAGCGAAGCGGGTCCTTGCAGCTAGTATAATATAAAAATATAGAGGTCCCAAGCTTTAGCGTATTTAGCTTAATAGTAAATCCGGCACTGAGTGTATACAGTACTTATATTTTTTTAATACGTAGGAACTGGTTGGTGTAGTATAATTACAGTATTTATCTATGACGTGGTGCCATCTATCCATTAAAATAGAAAATATTTTCTACGTTTAAGTATGACTGCAATATTTATTAATTATTATTTTATTACAATTGAACCTCACTTAACATTTGAATTAACTAATTGAATTAACCTCACTTAATTGAGTGCTTTGCATAACGAGCAAACTAAATTGTGAAAATCACTCGCAAAACGAGTAGACAGAAGAGGGGAAATCCCGGATTGTGAGCGTGATCCATCAGTTCGTGTTTAGCACTCGTTCAGCTAGTATCTTAGCGTCGCTTGTGATCGCACATTTTTCCAAATTTGTGTTTACACATATTACGTATAAACATCGACAACCATAGTCCGTTATATAATAAACACGCCAAACGATATTCCAAATTCTTGGGCTACGTAAAGGCTATAATTAAATATTAGAAATTAATTAATTTGACTAGAGGTGGGTAGTTATGCTTCCATCTGGTATTAAATTTAATGACCAATCCAAATTAAATTCCAGAAATAGCTAAATTAAAAATTATTTATTTATAATTATTAAATTTAACACGAGATGAAAGCATAACTACCCACCTCTAGTCAAATTAATTAATTTCTAATATTTAATTAAAGCCTTTACACAGCCCAAGAATTTGG